GCGCAGGGGAGCACAGGCGACCCCGACACCACCAGCACAGAAGGAGGGATGAAGATCGAGGGAGAAGACACAGAGAACACCACAGCAGAGGGGAGACAGGAGGAGAAGGGGAGGAGGGCCAAGAGAAGAGGCAGAGGAGGCATCGCCATGGAAACCATGGGGATGGAGATGGAAGGAGGGATAGGGAACGGAGTCGACAGCATAGAGCTAGAAAGTGAGTGCTCTGTGTTTCTTAAAAACTGTGCAGGGACTTAAAGAATTGTGGTGAATTGGTGAATAATTTATTTGATCAGCGAATCGTTACATGAATCATCTAAATGAATCGACCCACTGACATTTTAACATTAATAGTGTTACATTCAGTTCCTGAAACTTTCTGATCTGAACTTTCTCAGAATCAGGGTTATTATCATTAGCTGAAACTAAAACCATTAAAAAATAATGGTAACACGTAATGGTAAAGTAGTTTTTATTAAAAAAAATAAATGTGGCTAGATACAGCATACTGTTACTGTTGTTTCAGCTGTTAACGTCTTGCCTCTCACTTTTTTTTTTAGAGAGTGTAGCTTATCAACGGTTCGTCCAATTCAGCCTGGTCTTCCTCATGCAGAGAGCCAGTACAGCGAGGATCTGGACAACCTGCGCAATAGCAGCAAGATGGCCATCCACAACCCTGACCCCGACTTTTATGACCCCTACTGTGACCCAGAGCAGGCTAATAACCTGCTGAACCTGCGTGGACCAGATTTCCATGACAGCAGTCTTATACTGACAGACTGCACCAAAACCCCCAGTAAACTTGACCACACTGCCATAGATATGCCTCCGATTTACCCCTCATTCAACGCCAAGTTACAAGGTGAGGGACGAGCATGTGAATGTGTGATTACAGAAAATTCTAGGAGCATTTAAAGGGAAGGGACAGTTCACCTAAAAATGAAAACCCTTTTTTTTTTTTTTTTATACAATAAAACTCAATAGTCCAATGGTTTTTTTTGGATCTCTTTCTATTTCATTCCAAGGGCAAAAAGAGTTTTCACAGTTTTGAAACACTCTTTCTTGTATCTTTTTTGTATGTTCTGCAGAAGAAAGAAAGCCATACAGATTTATGACAACATGAGGATGAATAAATTTTTGTTTGTTGGATGAATCTTAGGCCCATCTGCACGCCTTTGTTCACATTTTATTGCATTGATTTGATAAATTGGATTTAAATGCGGTAAAATGTGTCAGATGGAGTTGATGACTGAAAAAAACAGGTAGCTGAAAAATTTTTAAATTAACTGAAAACATTAGGTTGTAGGTTTTATTTGATAAAATACACATTAAGAAAACAATGTTATTTAAATATAAAAATTGAAGTGATAAATAAATATAATAATTGCATTCAAAAAACTTTTAAAATGCAATTATTATAAGGAAAACCAAATACGTTTTTAAATAGAACTCTTATACAGAATTCAACATGCACAGATTCTGTGCAGGTGTGTCAATGAGTAAGATGCATTTATGTGTGTTAGTAAAAGCAAATGTTGTACTGTTTGATATTTGATGATGTTTGTGGATTTCTGTGCACGTCCTTCGTCCCACATTCCCTTCATTGTGCAGTGAACAAGAATGCCAACACAGAGCCAGCTAAAGGAGGAGAGAAGAAAGAGGAGGAGGAAGACGATGGTGGCGATGAAGACGGCCCCAAACCCATTCCCCCATTCAGTTCCTGTTTCATCCTATCCACAACCAACCCGTAAGTGTGTGTTCATCTGTGTAAACGCATGTGTGCAAAGTAAATGTATTTATCTTAACCAATGTGAGTTTTCAGGTTCCGAAGATGTTGTCATTACATCCTGACGCTACGTTATTTCGAGATGTGTATTCTGTCAGTCATCGCTATGAGCAGCATTGCTTTGGCTGCGGAAGATCCGGTGTGGCCGGAATCACCTCGAAACAACGTAAGATTAATGTTCTGAATATTATTTGTGACCTAACTAAGCTTTCTAGAAGTAATTTTAATGGTCTTGCATAATGTGAAACAAAAAAAAAGTTTAAATTGGTTTTATTTTATTTATTTATTTTTTTACAAATTCTACCAAAACGTGAAACTAAAACGAAATAAATCGAATCTGTTTTTACTAATAAATGTATTTATACTCAAGCAACAAACAGCTGGTCCTAACAGCTAATTAGGACAAAAACTCAGATTAACATGGATTTGTTCTCATATAGATTATGCATTTGCTTTTTGTTTTCCAGGTATTGCGTTACTTTGACTACGTCTTCACTGGCGTCTTCACCTTTGAGATGCTCATCAAGGTAAAGTGTGTGTGAAATTACTTGTGCGGTTGAGTTGTAGCATCTCATTTTATCTATTTGTTTTAATCCTCTGCACTGTTTTTCAGATGGTGGTGTTAGGCTTGGTTTTGCATGAGGGCTCATATTTTCGTGACCTGTGGAACTTTCTGGACTTTGTAGTGGTTAGTGGTGCCCTGGTAGCCTTTGCCTTCACGTAAGTGCCCTTTACCCCACCATTTCCTGCCCCAAAGTGCTGCCTGCTGCCCCTTATCTTCTCTTCCACCACCCTGTTGCCCCACTGCCACCCTGGAGCCTCGTCAGTACTCCCTGCCCCTTTCTCTCTTGGTCTCTTCCTTTTTTCTTTTTTCTTCTCCTGTCAGCACTGTGTGCCCTTCTTCTAAGCTCTCTATCTCTATTTTTTTTGTCACTTTGCATTCTGTCTCACTCAATCAGACACAAAGATGAAGGCCTTTCTCACGTTACACACACACACACACACACACGCGCGCATCAAACTTTCTGTCAGGACCAGCCTGTCTGTCTCTGTTCTCTCTCTGACTAATCAGCTCCCTTCTTGATAATGCCTCTATTATTTTCCATCCAACTCCTGCCATTAGCACTATGTGATGCACATAAACTTCTGTCCATCTTTTACTGTATTTTGATCAAATAAATGCAGGCATGCTGAATTTAATAGATTTATTTGCAAAACATTTAAAAATCTTACCTACTCCAACTTTTTGAATGGTATTGTATTTATTTTATTTAATTGATATCAATATTATTTATTAAAATAAAAAATCATTGATTCAAACCATTTTAGTTAAACTTTTTTTTCTCTGTATTGTTGAAATATTTGTCAAAAGAAGGCACACAGTATGCTGATATGAATGACTGTGTGTTAGCTGAATGCCCATAGTGAAACCTATCAGCTCGGATGTTCACATACACATGGCCTGATAGGTTTAAACCCTGCTTTGAGTTAAAAATCACTCCACAAGCAACGCCCAATTTTCATCCCTCGCCCCTGACCCTAATCTAAATGAAGCCTCTCCACCCTATCAAGTCTGTTTGTGTCCTGTGTCTCTTCCTATTCTCATTCCTAAAAACAATTCTTCCCCATCCTATCCCCTTCATCTTTCCTTTCCTCCTCGTTCCTCTCCTCTCCCTCCATCAGCACTAAGCTTCCTTGGACAGACTCCAGCTGTCAAGCTGTATATCATTTGGGCCTCCATTTGTTGAGTCTAAAAAGTGAGTGAAAAAGAGAGACAACAAGAGATAGAGAGAACAAGAGATACAGAAGGATAGGTTAAGGAAAAAAGAAATACAAGAAAAGAGGACTCCAGGTTGACAGTTGCTCCTCATTAAGTGTTTTTTTTTGACGTTCATCTTCTGTCCTATCTGTTGTTGTTTAACTCATTCTCTTTCTCGCACTCACACACACGAAATGAAAGGATGTACCCTTTCATTATTACCTGTGATTATTTACTCACCGTCATATTGTTTCAAACCTGTACATTTTTTAAAAGTCTAATTTTGTGTCCCATGCTAAAACTAACAGTATGCAGGTTTGATTCAACATGAGGGTGAATTTATTTTTGTGTGAACAATTGTTATTCTCTCCACTGCCTAATGCTTTCTAAATGGATGCATTCTGGGTATAGGCATGGTCATGTGACACGCAAGCATCTCAGATTACCCAGAATACCTTGGTTTGGTGGAAGAAAGGCTTGCCCATGTGTTACAGTTTCCCCAAAAGAAAAAAAAAACGACTCAACAAATGATTATGTTTTTGCCACCTTCATTCTTAGAATGAGGTTAATACAAATACCTGAGAAGCATGTAATCCCATAAACGCTATAGATTTGGGTTGTATGCGTGGGGTTGTGGACTGTATGTGCTGCTTGATAGTTACTCAAATACCATCCCACACTGCCACCTTGAGGTGACTGCAGTGTGGCGGCCATTTTGGCTCCACTGCAGTCAGTTATGGATTCCACCTTCATTCCGGCTCGAGGGTCTGATACACGGTGCGTTCCAAACGGGATATATCGCCCTCCGAAGGGCACTTCGGAGTGAAAACAATCATGGCCGCCATATTGAAGGGTCTTTCCTTTATCAGTCCATTCAAATGTTTCAAATACATAGACACAATATACATTACAAATACATATTACATTACATATACAAATATACATTATATTTAACGTAAAAGACGACTGGGGATCAACAGCGTACAAAATGTTTGACGAAGGCGCCTCCTTGATCGTCTCATTAAAATGACGCAGAAGTTCCCAAAAAGTTTTTTTGACCCCTACACCCTTCATCCCTTCGAAGCTCTCACTCCGGAGGGTAAACCTTTTGAAGGGATTAGGGCATTGGGATGAGCCCTTCTGAATGGAATGCAGGGACAGTCTGCTGATTCAAGGCTAAGGTGTCGAGAATCTCCCCCTGCATTGAGAGTTGGCATGGCAGAGGGAGGATTCTCCCCTACTGCAGTGGGTTGTCCTAATCTGTAAGTGTGATGAGTTTGAATCCTCAGTCATTGATTGGGGAAAGGCCCAGAGTATAAGACCTGCCAAATACCTGGCAGGGGTTAGTGTATGAGAATGATGCAGTCAGAGTCAATACCACAAAGAGCAGCAGACTCAGGTGTGTGTGTGTGTGTGTGTGGCAATTGCGAGCATGAGTTAATCACTAATAAAGCAGCTAAATTTGATTAACAGGTCAGCACACTTTGATTTTATTTCTCTTAACTATATAAATTTAACAGGGTATATAATATTGTGTATAAAATAATTTATAAAGTATATTATATACACTACTGTTCAAAAGTTTGGGGTCAGAAATATTTTTGTTTTTTGAAAGAAATAATACTTTTATTCAGCAAGGATGCATTACACTGATCAAAAGAGGCAGTTTAGACATTTATGTTGTTACAAAAAAGTTGTATTTAAAAAAATAACAAATTTATTGCATCTTAAAATATATTCAAATAGAAAACAGTTGTTTTAAATTGTAATAATATTTCACAATGTTACTGTTTTAACTGTATTTTTGATCAAATAAATGGTGAACATATAAGACTTTCAAAAACATCTTACCAACCCCAAACTTATATATATATACTTCAAAATCGGGGCTTATTGATATCAGTGTACAGTACAATCTTGCACCCAGATTAAAAATAAGTGTGCGTAGGCAACAAACTTTCTAGAGGAGAGATCAGATGTTCCAGTACTCACTATATAACACTACAGTGGTAAGTGCTGATCTTTACTCAGATAATGGGCTAGGTTGTGAAATAAACAGATAGATATGATCTCATCTCAGATCTGTACATTATTTACCCTTATCAGATCTCTCAACAGCCTTTAAACGTTTTAAGGAGTCTGGATTTTAAGACTAATTGACCCTTTGCTAAGCCCCTCCCTACTGGCCAACCTGTTACACAACAACAGTTTACAGACAATTTTAAACAAATATGCAAAGAAGCATATGTGGATGGATGATATCCTTTCGGTTTTTACTGCACAGTTCACTAAAAATGCTGCTCATGAAAATCTCTTATTCATTCCAATGGGACGTTTTGTAAAGCTTGTGTGAGCGGACAAGAGTATCCAATTAGGCGGTGCTTAGCAATGGTCAATTATATTATATATGTCTATAGAATTTTTGAATACATTATTTAAAGACGCATTAATCAAAGTTTCAATATTGTAACCTATTGGATCACATCACACAAATCACACAAAAGCAATTGTTTTTGATGACCAATTCAAGCATATTTGTCAGCTGTGATCAATTTTGCAATAATGTTATTTAACATATTTGTATGTGTAAAACACTGCTTAGTGCATCTTTAATTTCATTTGACTAGGTCTGTACTTCCTAATATCTGAACATGGGGCTTTCAACTCTTTTAATCATTCGCTGAGGTTTTTATCTTTTTGTTTGTTTGGTCCTTTTTCTCTGTCTGTCTGTCTCTCATATTGATGTTGTTCTTCTGCCAAGCCACTCCCAGTATCTTGTTTCTGTTTCTGTCTCTCTTTCTCTTTTTCTGTGTGTGTGTATTCCTCTCTTTTCTGTCTCTTTCTCTATTCCGCTGTCTGTCTCTGACCCCCTCTTATGTCTACACCTTGGTGATCAACAGGAGCCTCTCTCGGTAAAGTCTCCCCTCCTTATTGTCGCACGGCTACCGTCCAGCTCACATGATGGCTTCTCTCTCTTTCTTTCTTTTTCCCTTCCCGACCCATTCTTCCTTTGCTCATCTGCTCTGGTTCTCTCCATTCCACTGCTTGTTTTATTCTTCCATGACTTACATTGGTTCTAACAGGTCCATCTGTGGACCTAAACGAGTGAACACAAAGTTACAGAAGACGTCACACTTTTGCACACTGCTTATGTTACTACACACCTCTCTCTGAGCACAGTCAGGAGCGAGTAATTGATTATCTGTAACCTGGACCTTTTCCAACGCTCCGACTCAATCAATCTGCCATGAGCTGGCCAGTCTTCAGCTGGGACTTGCCTGGAAGTTCATAGTTAAAGACAGCTGTCTTGGCCGCTTGATTGAAGAGTTCTCTGATTGTGTTTGGGACCTGTGTAAATACTTTTAAAAAAAAAATACGTCTGCCACATTCACAAGACTGTTCCTGGGACAATAAGGATTCACTGTCTACACTGGGTGTTTTATGGTGCAAGATGGCACTAACATTAGAGTAGTCTACTCTAGAAGCTTCAATTGTGGATTTCATTGATGGACATTTTTTTGTGAACTGCTCCAAGCATCTGTCTAAAATAAAATAGCTCTATTTACATTTGTACTGTTAATGTTATAAGCTGTATATTTTAAAAGCCTCTTTATTAACCCATTATTAACCTCAGTATTTATATATTTATCGTTTTTGTTTTAATTTTTTTATTCTGAAATGACCCTTGCATTTTTTTACTATGAATTGTATTAGTTATATATTTAAATAATCTCATTATTAACCCATTATCAACCTCACTATTTATTTATCCAGCATTATTTTTTCATGTAATGAATTTAATCTTTTATTTTTAATTCCCTTGGAATTTTTGTTCTCTGAATTTTAGTGGTTGTATATTTAAATAACCTAATTATTGACCCTTTATTTATTTTATTTCATATATTTTTTTATGTTATTTATTTAATGCCATTTATTATTATTATTTTAAAATAACCCATGCAAAGTCCTTTTTTGGCAATAAAGCATTATTTTATTTCTAATTTTAGTCTTCAGCTTACACCTGATTGGTCCATGTTAGTAAATATTTTGGGATAAGCAACTTTGATGCACCCAGTGTAGACAGACTTGGACCATTGTGATGCTAAACATTAAGTTCTTCAAAATGGCCAGTTCATTGAATGGCCAGTTTCTTGAATATCTTCTTGTAAAAATCCAAATGTGCTTTGGAGAAAGGAGGTTTATCAACAGTTTTTTCTTTTTATTTCCTTATTGGTTTGAATGCAATGAAATGTCCTTGTAACTTGTCTTTGTCTCCTGGTTTGAGCTTCCTCAAGTTCTTCTAGGGACAAGATACAGTTGGACTCAAGTCTGCTAACCTTCTGCATCTCAATGAACCCTCAGTCTTTTCATGTTACCTACGATTAACACAAACAGCCTCCATATCCCAGACCTCCATTCCCCTGTCTGCTCTAAAACAGCTAAAAACCAAAAAGAAAGAAAGAGGTTTGGCTGGGCATTGCACTGGAAAATGCCTGACAGTTTTTCTGACATACTTACTTGAATGTGTTATGCTTTTGGAATGCCCACAGAAGGTAGACGGAAAACCTACAATGGTTGTGAATCTGTGAAGGCCTGTGAAGACTTGTTTGAAGAATTTTTTTTTTTTAAATAAACAATCCACAAAAAATACGTCTAATACATGATAAATACTGCAGTATTAACTGTTGCATGGTGATATTGAAATTATCTTCTACATTAAGAGCAAAAGGAAGCCCAAGAAATGGTCTAGAAGTGAAATGTGATTGGAAATGTCTTTCAAGAATTCATGTCTCTCTTTATGTCTCGCCATACAGCATGTTGATGTCCTGTTGTTTGTCTCCAATCCACAAGGGGGAGCAGTAAGGGGAAAGACATCAGTGTCATCAAGTCTCTGAGGGTTCTAAGGGTGCTACGTCCCCTGAAGACCATCAAACGTCTTCCCAAACTAAAAGTAAAAGCCACACACACACACCTACACAGCTATGATACATGTTATCACACCATCTTGTTTTGTGCTATACCAATTTCATGTCTCTTTCTCCCAGGCGGTGTTTGACTGTGTAGTGAACTCTCTGAAGAACGTGTTGAACATCCTCATTGTCTACATGCTGTTCATGTTCATCTTTGCTGTGGTGGCCGTGCAGCTCTTTAAGGGACGATTCTTCTACTGCACCGACGAGTCCAAAGAGTTTGCCCGTGACTGCAGGTAAGAATAGACAACGTGCAATGAAAAATTGTGAATTTGGCAACATGGTCCACAATAATACATGTATACTCGCCTATCCTTATAAAAAAAGTCTGTTTGCTGAATTGTGCATGTGTATTTGTGTTTCAGGGGCGAGTATTTGGTGTACGAGCGCAATAACGAGGTCAAATCGCAGAAGCGGGAGTGGAAGAAGTACGATTTCCACTACGACAACGTGCTTTGGGCCCTGCTTACTCTCTTTACTGTGTCCACCGGAGAGGGATGGCCGCAGTGAGTTGACATGTGCTCACAACCTGTGTGTCATCTCTTGTGGCTTTGTATCTCTCCTTTTATGTCATCGCCTCTTCTTGTCACTTTACTTTCAGGGTGTTGAAGCACTCTGTGGACTCTACCTATGAGGACCAGGGCCCGAGCCCGGGGTATAGGATGGAAATGTCCATCTTTTACGTGGTGTACTTCGTTGTCTTCCCCTTCTTCTTCGTAAACATCTTTGTAGCTCTCATCATCATCACTTTCCAGGAGCAAGGAGACAAGATGATGGAGGACTACAGCCTTGAAAAGAATGAGGTACTTGCAAATTTATTCCTATGTGTAAACCAAGAAACATGCCTAATTTTGACCTAAATTGAAGGCAGCATCTTATAAATCTTCCAATCCCGTAGTGCATTCCAAGGTGGTGGACAGTTTAGTTTTATTCATTGCTAAAAAGTAGTTCAATAAGAAATCATTTCATATAATTCATATAATGTGGTATTTCAACCAATATCTTATGACTTGTTTTGCAATGAGCCATCTGTGTAGAAATGTGATTATAACTATTGGCTATTTTGTCTATTTTGGTATTATCGAAAGTTTCATTTGTGAAATAGTCAATTTTATCACAAAATCTAGAAATTAGTAGACTGCTATATATATATATATATATATATATATATTAGTGCTGTCAATCGATTTTTTTTTTTAAACTAATTAATCACACATTTTTCTGAAATTAATCGCGATTAATCCCACCTAACATGAAAGTTTTTAAATATACTTTTATATTGCAATAATTTCACATTCAATCTTCAAATTAATGTACAAACAACATAAAGACTGTGTATTTTTTAATATTTGTTTAATGGCATCTTTTTTTTATGACTGAAGGCCAGTATCACTGATACCAATACTACTGATATCTCTATGAAATTGTTTTCCCCCCTAATATTTAAACATTGACTATAGCCATTCAACATTACAGTATAATTGAGAGCTATCAATTTTAACATTTATTAGACTTTAAAAATAACTTCTAATTTAAGTGAACTTAAAGGGGTCATATGATGCTGCTAAAAAGAACATTATTTTGTGTATTTGGTGTAATGAAATGTGTTTATGCGGTTTAAAGTTAAAAAAACACATTATTTTCCACATACTGTACATTATTGTTTCTCCTCTATGCCCCGCCTTTCTGAAACGCGTCGATTTTTACAAAGCTCATCAGTCTGAAAAAGCGAGGTGTGCTGTGACTGGCCAGCTATCCAGTGCGTTGTGATTGGCCAAATACCTCAAGCGTGAGACGGAAATGTTACGACCCTCACATACTGTTGATGCCGTGTCCCGGCCGGAGCGACGAGACAAAAACATTAAAACCCATTACAAAAGAGGCATTTGTTGCATCCAGTGGGGACATAACTACTGATTATAATGACTTATACTGTCTTTTTACGCATTGCGTTGCATCGCGCCGCGTAAACATAAAACTCTGTCTGCATTTGTGATCAGAGAAATGACAAACAACAAGTGCTAACGTTAATCCACACTGCCCAAAACTCGCGTTTGAATCATCAGTGGCAAATGAAAAAAGAAAACGTACTTACGTGAGTCAGAACTGCCGGCATTTTAGCCTCAAGCGTGAGACGGAAATGTTACGCCCCCTTACCATACTGTTGATGCCGTGTCCGGCCGGAGCGACGACACATAAACATTAAAACCCATTACAAACAAGGCATTTGTTGCATCCAGTGGGGACATAATTACTGATTATAATGACTTACACTGTCTTTTTACGCGTTGCATTGCATCGCGCCCCGTAAACATAAAACTCTGTCTGCATTTGTGATCAGAGAAATCAACAAGTGCTAACGTTAATCCACACTGCCCAAAACTCGCATTTGAATCATCAGTGGCAAATCCTTCAAATGAAAACGTACTTACAGTCTGTGAGTCAGAACAGCCGGCATTGTAGTCTACTCTCCCAGGATCAGGAAACAGTCCTCCATAAAATG